AGGTGTGACGGAGAAATGCAGATTGCTTTGGGGAGCGGCGTACTCCGCCCCCGCCCCGTCCCCCTTCTTTTTCAATCTGCAGCTTAACAAATCCAATCCCACAACCAGGAGGGGAGATTCACAGTTACTTCCCGTACTGTGTTTGATAACAATGCATGAATTATCCCTTTTAAATTGCTTTCTGGATGCATTTTTTTAATTAAAACTGTTAAAGTGAATCAATCATTCGTGCACCCTCTTAAGACCCACAGAATGTAACTCACCACCAGTTTGTCACACACCACTGCTCCCAACTCCCTATGTCTTTTTTATACTAAAGCCAATTAACTTCTTTTTTTTTTGACTGAGGGAAAACACTACACTGACTTAGCAGGTTTAGAACAATATGTGTATTAAACTTGTCCTAAACTGTCACATCTGGATTTAGAGACACTGAGAAGCACCACAAAGCAGACGAGTTTTTTCTCAATATATGTCAAGAACATAAAAGTTCCACCCCACCAAGGCTCAACTAAACCACAACAATAATTCTCTGCTACGAACGGAAACAAGCTGTTAATGTGGCACGGCGCTAACTAGCTACTACAAGTTTCCCTGAAGGCCCGGGCAAATTGGAGTTCGGCGTAATAATGAGCAGATTGATGGAGCTGGTTGAAAGCTTTTATTATGCAGCCAGGAGCGGCTGTGGCTTGTGTGCATGCATGCTCTTGAGTGAAACGGCTGAAGAAGTGCATCGTCTGGCCAAATTTTCACTCGCGACCCGATTGCTTTGAGATTTCCTTTCAGAGGGCTGTCTGGAGATGGAAGAACTCTCGCGTGAAGAGACAGGAAAAGAACGACAAAAGGTCAAGAATTAAGATAACGGTAACAGTCAAAGGTGGAGCTGCAAGGAAAGAAAAGTATAGATTGCTAACAGAGAGGAGCACAGACAGAAGAAGCAAAGGCGGGTGAAACGTGACGATGAGCTCCATCCAACAGGCCCTTGAGAGACTGCCAACAAAACATTTAAGCCTTCCTTACTTGAAATTTGATTGATGAATGAGTGAAAGTCATGAGATGTTTTTGAAGAGGCACACAGAAACACTGTCATGCAACAGGCTCCCCCATGAAGACAGAAACAGACAATGAGAACTAGAAACTCTGGTTTCTATAATCTCGCCTAAATAATATCCCTAAAGTGGCCACCTTATAATGGAGGTAAAATATCTACAAGGCTTTTCTTTACTTTTTTTTCTTTTTTTTTTCAAGAATTGAAGTCAAGAGCGACATCTTGAAATCACCAAGTCTCCATAGCAGCCAGAGAGCGTTTACATCTCAACCAGTTAGTTGTGTGGGAAAGCACATCAAGAAGAGAATTTTTTGTTTTTCATTGCATTTGTTTTTGGAGTCGCTAAGTTATTTTACTGAAACTGTGTTCAGTTTGAATGAGATAAAAACTCAACAAGTAATCAAGTGATTAAAGTGAGGGGTGACTTTTTGAATTTCAACAATAACAACCAAAGACTGACAATAAAATCTTAAAGCGGAATCCGAAATGGCAAGACATTTTTTTAATAAACAATTAGCAAACACCAACAGAATTGTTACCTTGACAAAAGATTTTGAAAAAGCATTTCAGATTGTGAAAAGCTAAAAACTAATTGTACCAGTCCCTTAAGTTGTGCGTTAAAGCGACAAAAGGTCTAAAATATTCAGAATATCCTACAAATAAAAACAACTCTTCACCCTCTCAAAGTCTCCAGAGTTTCACACAGTCAGTAAATTATGTTTTATCAACTAAAGCCCAGGTTTTTAGATAGAAGCCAGTTCTACCCAGCTTGAATAGATTGTTTTTCAATAAGCCTCCCTCCTGTTTCCAATGAAAGGAGCTACAGTACTTCTCTGATGTGTCAGATCGCTGTAGTGCTAAGAGCAATTTCTTAATCAAGCAAGAAATACCAGAATTCTGCTGTGATTTCAATAAATAAAAGCCAGCATGAAACATTGGTGGGATCCAATTTCCGTTCTGAAAGTATTTCAGTGGAAAAACTGCCGTTTTCAGATTTGTTATGACACGCTTTAACATTTCAGGTTCCATTTTAAGCGAGGCTTTGTTAACATGAGGTGGAGTGGGAGACAGTAATTTATGCATTATGTACTTTAGTGATTCTAAACTGTCGCTTGATGAAAGCTGAAGCTGACTCGCCTATGTAAAAACATACTTGTAACACACGCTCTCTGGGGACTTCATTTTGTTTTATTTTTATTCACTGACAAACATTTCAAAGGGCTCCAAGTAAGTTTAAATGTTGAAATTACAGGGGGGGTTTCTCCCCCACAAACTCAAATTCACAGAGTTCTCTGTGTTTTTAAAGTCAAGTCTTTGAAGCGAAAACAAGAAACGTCATGGAGGATTTTCAACGGGAGTCAGACTTTAAAGATGAAATCTACAAAAACTGGATGGATGTGGACATGGAAAGACGGGACGAGTGGACATAAAATCATGGATGATGGATGTGGACTTGGATTGAAGGATGGATGAGCATGTAAACCACATTGTACTGAAAACTGATTGTGTTAAACACAAGAAAGCATTACTTTCATAACAGTGTGTGATTAAATTTAGTGTCTAAAAGCCATAAAAGCTTTGGATTAAAAGCTGAACTTAATGCAACAAATACAGGTTGAGACAGGATAAAAATGTATGACGGTGTATCCTACACATTCACCCAACAGAATAAGTGGTGTCAAGTTACCACAGCCAATCAGATTGGTCGTCCCGCCTTTTGTTTACATTTTGAATGCGCTAGTCGGCGCGGTGCACAGTAGCAGCTCCGCTGTGATGAGAGAGCAGCTTGCTAAATTTGTCCCTGAGGTAAATCTTGTGCGCAGACTGAATACTGACGATAGTTTTACTTATCCTGACGGGTCCAGACATTCCTAAGTGGCCTAAATCAAGTGGAATATGTCCAATAATTAAACATTACATTTAAGTTTTGCTACCCGTAACGAAGCGATGTGTTATCGGGTTACAAGCATGTGGACTGATCGATGGAAAGGTGAGCAGACAGCATCCGATGGACGGATTAAACTTTCATACAACGGAGCAACCCCTATTTTTACAGACTGGGATATGAAATATTATGTGAACACAACCTAAACTACAGAGCCCTGCTTTTAGTCATTCATTAGAAACCTTACTTCCAAATCCCAAATGTATCAAAACTGTAGTTCAAAGCAATCGGTCTGAAACTGATCTGAATATCAATAATCGTGTCTATTTGATAAAACATAACTAGTTGTTACGTGGCCGTTAATCAAAGTTTGCCTTGAACAAAAGTATTCTTTTGCTTATTCCACTGCTACCAAGTTTAATCTGTTCTCGCTTTCATTGCCAAGCTGATCCTCTCCTCCCTCCACGCCTCATCTGTATCAGGATGGATTATTTGCCCTTGGCACACCACTTGGTAGTCTGCATGGCAAGGCAGCCAGTAAGTGGATCTATATGAAGCTGAAGGAGAAACACATTCCTAAACTTATCCCTGCTTGTATATTTGTGTGCTTGCAAAGTAGCCAAGTTATGAAAATGTTAGCAGGTACTATAAACAAAAGAAACAAAGGCCTCAGCGAGTACAGCGAGGTAAAGGGAGGGGGGGGGGGGGGGCACAAGGGGGCAATCATAGAGTGAGCACTATCTGAGCTCAAAGGGGCCTTTATGTAGCAGCAAAAATGGCATTTAGGCAACGAGGAGAAGAAGCTCGGGCCTAAACAGGAACTACAGCTGCATATAAACAAGAACACATCTCATGTTTAAAAAAGGAAGAAAGAAAAAAAGTGTTTAGTGAAGCAAGTTTTCTCATCGGCCTTGAGGAGCTGCATTAGCTGCCACGCATGGAATATATTGCTATATGTTATTTGGATCACAACATCCTTCAAATGATGGAGGCAGAGAACACTGCGTATATTACTCCATCTTCTCTTTCGATTTCTATTTAAACAATATACAACCTTCCTTTCCAAGGGGTTTGTAATTACTGGATTATTCTAGATGTGAAGGCTTCAGGGGGGGTTTGTTAGGAAACATTAGTGGAGAAACGACTTAATGAAGACCATGGAAATGATAATATTGTTGTTTTAGACTGTTTTCAGGGAATATAAATGGGAATGACGGTGTCATAATAGCGCAAGAACACATTCTCCAAAAGCAATAACCTTTAAATTCTAACATTTAACACTGGAGATGGAAGGCATTTTAAATATCAACAATAAATAAACAAAACAGAAATAACAAATCAAATGAATAATAAAACTGCCCTTCAAAGAATAAGACAGTTGAGACCAAAGTACCAGAGTGATGTTTGTCATCCAGGTTTTGGTGGAAAAAGTGAAAAACGATAAATCATTCAAATGGAAATTATTGATTTTGTTTACATTTATTATGCGATTAATTGATTTATTGCTTATTGCGACAGGCCTACATCAGACCTGTAGGCATTACCGTCCTACTTAAAAAGTCAACATGTTGAAAACTGCGTTATTTTCCTCCCTCTCAATTTCCTTTTCTTCTCTGTTGGTGCTTAAAGGAAAAAAAATGTAGAAGTCTGAAACGCTGAAAAAAAAAAGATGAGGACAAAGGTCAAAAAGTCAAATGAAGATGTGGTCATGTTTGCGGGTGATAATATTAGGTCTTTGTTTTAGATTTGGCGGTTGCTATGGTTAAGAATGCAGGTCTCCTACACAGAGCCGGCGACCAAAGTCACCTTCTGGCAGCTGGCTACTGTCATCTACTAATGCACTCAGAACTTCTGACCAGCACGGGTAATGACCAGGGAAGTAATGAAGAAGGATGCAGGCCATGATCATTCACAGTCTGCCCTGACGCTATTAAAACAAACGTGGACAATTCGTTTTCATTTGCTAGGAGGGACGTGTTCGCCATCTACATTTCCCATATGTCGCAGATTTACAGCACGCAAAGATGCCCGACTCTGACGCAGAGTTTGAGAGCGAGGGCAGGTTACCTGAAAGTCCCGCTCCTCCAGAATCTCTTTCCTCCACCGCACTAGGAAGGCAGCACACACGTACAGGTGGAAGTGAGAGAAGCCTTCAGGTTCCGCCTGGAAACAGGAGGAAATTATAGAGCATGAGCGAAAATAATGAAAGCTGGGACATTACCGCACTCTTTAAATTCTAAAAACAACAGGAAACTGGAAGGAGGGACTGCATATCGGTATGCAATATCTGCATACATTAGCTACAACAGAATGACACCAGCAGCCCAAGGCTTTTCAAAGTCGTTTGTTATTTAACTGCAAAACATGTTTTTAGTTTTTAATGAGCAAGCCTTACTTCTACAGTTTCCAATAATTTTCTTCCTTTGCAAAGGTTAGATGTTTTATTTTGTTCTTAAATCTCAAACAATTTCAAAATAACTTCCATGACATCCTGAAGCACCTAGTGTAGCTCTTTATTTAAATGCTCACATTTGTCCAAACCACAAAAAAATAGCAGTATAGGTATATGTGAGTAAATTATATACGTTTTGATGAGGCAGATAAAAAAAAAAAACTAAGCAGGCTTTAGGTTAAGCCCACATTTCTGCTTTTATTAGCTGCAGATAGAAAATCATCATAATTAACATAAACATCAGTATGTATGTATGTGATTAACCTCTACGACGTGCTTCACTTTGTGAATTGAGTTTGTGAAATAATGAACTTTCCAATAATATTCCATCATCGTCGAGATTCACCTTTATTTCGTTGGCAGCTGGTTTCTTCTCTATGATGATCGGTTAGGACAAACAGGCATCAAAGTGTATTTATTAAACTGAAAATGTTTTCCCTAAGTGATTAAACTTTAATTTGTCATTATGGACATCAATTATGGAAAACATCATTATCAAAATCCGAGAGATTAATGAATGAATTAACATTTAGGTGTCAAAACTTGATGAATGAATTAACATTTGTGGAAAGTTAGCTTTAAACCAGCTAACTTTCCACAAATGTTAATTCATTTGTGTAAATGAAGCGAATGAAAAATATTTGAGGTTGGGATCCTTTCAACTGGTGCATTAAATAGAGCAGCTAAATGATAAAAAGAAAAAAGACATAATCAGACATATTTCAAAAGGTAAAAGCTTTTATAGTTGTCATAACAAGATGAGTAATTCTTAATATGACAAAGAAGAACGACACAATTGCCTCAAATTACTTTCAGGCGTCATCTAATGTGTTGAACGGATGAATGGTAATTGCTAAAGTATAGCTATTTGTTACCCTGACTCTTGCATGTAAAACGCTCGCAAAAGATTTCTGCAGGTTTCACTGATTCAAATTCCACGATTAAGACCGTTTTTAAGACCACTGTGAATGGATTTTAAGACCTACGAACTTTGTCTCGTCGACTGGCAATAACTTTGCAAAAAAAAAAAAAAAAAAAAAATGCGAGCCTGCTAACCAGCTTTTTTTTTTGCTTGCTATGTATCTAGCTAGCAAGCTAGTAAGGGTACTTTAGCGGTGAGTTAGCGGTAGCCTCAATCGTTGCGATACATAAAACGTAACAGAGATGTCTGAGTGCGACTCAAACTCTTGTCTGACAGGAAAGTCCTGTGAGAACAAAAATCACCTACATTACACAAGACATTCCAAGATAACATTTAAGACCTGTAATTAACATTAATTACACCCAGTAATTAATGTTTTTTTTAATAAATTCAAGACATTGAGACTTTTTAAAGGTGCGCAGACACCAAGGGGCTGAAAATCAGTGAGTGTAAATGTCATGATGGAAACATAACTGGAGTAAAGAGCAGCGTTCCAAAAATGAAATCCAGGCACCGGTGGAACAAAACTGAAACGGCACACAAAAGGGTGGAGTAAATTATGGTAATAATTTGATGCAAAACTTTATATAACATGTCATTTTAGGCAGCACTGAGAGCCATTCTGGCATCTGTGCATCGCTGAAACAGCGCGGGCCTTTCATCACATTTCCTGCTTACGTACACAAGGTATTTAGAGCTGAAAATAAAAAGACAGACAGAGAAAACGTGAAATGGAGCCCTTTTTTTTTTTTGCTGTCAGCGACCCAAAAATGTACATTTGCAGGGAGACGGAGACAAAGGAAGACGCAAATCCCTCTTTCCACAGCGCCGCCTTTTATTTCAGGCCCTTGTTACGTTCGCTCGCTTACTTTTTTTTCTCCCCTCCCTCTTTCTGATGCTGCAAAGAGCAGGGGGAATTAAAGAGGAAGAAAGACAAAGGATGAGATGTTCCCTGTTCTATTCATTCCACTCCAGAGCCCCATCAGAGAGAGAATAATTACAGCCCCGTTGAATGGAAGTCACTTAGGAGCGTGCTCATCTAAAGGAAGAAGATCCCAGCATGGGAGTGTTTCTGGATGCAATCACTAAAGGTGTTTTAGTTGCATTTAAACAAACTAAAAGTACATTGTTGATTACTTTACTTTCCGACTGGATGAGCTGGGAGTGAATTAAACGCACGGGGAGAAAAGGTCAAATGAAAGAGTGACTTATCTCCTTTGGATAGACAGTTTTGGTAATAATGGCACCTGAAATACAGTTTCCTCTGCTCCCCAGACTGACGGCAATCTGAGAAACGTCCATCTCCGTTTTTATAACATGTCAGGACTTTTTTTTTTCTTCTCTTTTCTTATTTTTAACTCCGTCCTCCCAACTGTTTCACTATTATATTTCCAGAAGATCGCAACCTCTCTGAATGTTTCATTCAGAGAGGTTTCTCCTTCAACCCCATCTTGCCGATTTTGAAGCAAGATCAAAATCAGACTTTTTTTTTCCCCTCCAGAGCGACGTTGGCTTAGTCACATTGAGAAAAATAAATAAATAAATACACTAGCTGACATGTTGTTTGCTTCATCAAATTTAATTTGGGTAATTGCGCCAGTGAATCCCATGGTGTTGTCCCTCACTTTCACCCAAAAAGTGGCGTGGAGGATAGAGTCGCACTCTTATTAAATACATCTCTTCATAAATTATTCTTCCGCTGTGCTCTCTGGAGAGTTGACACTGATGGGATTTTAAAAAGTTCTGCTGCTGGATAAGAGAAAAAAAAAAAAAAGAAAGTGAAAATCTAACTACCTTTGCATTATTTAGTGGAATAAAGTGACTCGCTCAAAGACTGTTATTGGATGTTATGACGTCTCTTCGATGCGAGGCAGTTGTCGGAAACTTAACACAGAATGACAAAATAATGCAGCTGATACTTTACAGGCATTTCCTTCATCTAGGGGCCTCAGCAGTTCAAACAAGTTTGTTAAAAAAAAGAAAGTAGAACTTTTATCAATTTAGGGTTTTGTTGATCAGGACAAAAGGATCTGGTCTTAACTAGGTTCTAACACTAACGTATAAATCTAAGTGTTCAACACGCAGGGATTACACACAGATTACTTGAGAAGGATTAAAGGATTCATTTGAACATAAATGTGCTTGATGAAAATGCTAATTTCAGGAAGAAAAAAAAAAACACTTGTTTTTTGATAAAGCTTTGGTTTTAGGTTAATGTGTATTTTATGGCCATATTTCGCAAAACTTCAATGGAAAAAAATACCATGCTTTTTTTTACAGTTGCCCTGAAATTTGTGCATCGACACATTGTTTTGTTGTTCAAACATCACTATTTATGTCAGACAGGTTGTGTTTTATAGGTTCTTTCATGCCAGAGTTGGACTGTCATGTTCCATTCAGAGAGGTTTCTCCTTCAACCCCATCAACTTTGTCACACTTTGTATTTCTTTTTCAACAAACACTAATAAATTAAAGATGAAAAGCAACGAAAGACGGTCATGAAAGCATAGATTTCCAAAGATCCTTTAATGTGATGTAATGTACCAAGCCATCAAAGAATGACCAGACTACCTTACTGCTGTGCTAATTGAAGAACCCGCCTTCATAAACCAAAGACGAAAATCTACAAAAGACAAAATACGAGCAGGGACGGGTTATAAAAACAAAAGCGCTAGTTTTTATTGAATTACCTTTTTCCTTCCCCTCGCTTCCGAACGCGTCTCCTGTTATTTCAGCTCGGCCTCCCGCGAGGTGGTACCAATTCTTTTTAATTTTAAGACAACAAAGAGCGTTTGTGCGAGTCGGGGAGAAGTAGAGAATACAAATAAAAGGCGAAAAAAGAAAAAGAGCAGCCTGCGAAGTGTGATGTGAGTGGCTGGCCGGCCGGCAGGCGATTGGCTCACCGCTCTACCTTTGCGGCCTCAGTTCAAACAAGTGAATCAACACAAACTGGCACATGCAAACACAGATGGACGAGAGGCATTAGTGCTAATCAGCCGCCTAAAGTGGCGCAAAGTTAGAATTTTTAGGGGGTTATTTAAGCGGCTGTATATAACTCAGTGCTTGAGAACTTTGAATTCTTCTCCAGCTCTCCCTCTCCATCCGTCACACTGGCTGTCACCCCATCCTCTGTCTCTCTCCCTTATTAATATAACAGAACTATTTCACAGATCAGGGATGAATTACTCCTCATCTAAAGCAAGTTCTGCGGGCCGCTCATCTTCAAATCTTGATTTGTTAGCCAATGATGAGGAATATTTCACAGCCACGGGCTGCGGCAGAAAAATGTTCACTTTAGATCAGTACGGGGCCATCAGTCGTGCTGCGAGAGTTTAAATATGGAGGGTTTGATGAGTCCACATTACAACAGCGGAGCTGCTGGGATGTGATGGGACTCTTAAAAGAGGCCCCAATTAATCAGTCAGTATGCATAATTGCATGTTTGTATCAAAGGGGGTATTTATTATAAAAAGACTCAGATTATTCAAAAACTCCATGGTTGACTTCTGATTCGCTGCACCACAGAATACTAATAGGATTTATTTTATTTAATGACTAAAAGAAAGCAAAACATATTTTTAGTTATTAGCATGAATACAAATTAGCAGAACAGTCTAAAATTAACAGCACAAAGTGCTAAAAAATTCAACACAGTAATTTTATATGATGAGTTCCATTTTTAGTTAGCTTTATTGGTCTGTGCTTTTTAGTTTTGAGCTGAATGGAATAATGTACATAGATGTACATCTAAAGAGAATAGTGCTGTGTGCCTGTTGCAAAATGCAAAAA